ATGGCCCGAGTCCTTGGGCCCCTGCACCCATGTGGGAGACCGGGGGTGGGGGGTGGGGGGAGCTCCTGGCTCCTGACTTCAGATCCGAGCAGCTCCTGCCATTGTGGCCAACTGGGGAGTGAACCAGTAGATGGAGGATCTCTCCCTCTCCCTCTCCCTCTCCCTCTCCCTCTCCCTCTCCCTCTCCCTCTCCCTCTCCCTCTCCCTCTCCCTCTCCCTCTCCCTCTCCCTCTCCCTCTCCCTCTCCCTCTCCCTCTCCCTCTCCCTCTCCCTCTCCTCCAATTGCTGTGTAACTCTGACTTTCAAGTAAATAAATAAATCTTTAAAAAGAGAAAAAAAGAAAAAAGAAATGGTGAAGTGGTAAAGGCATTCTGTTTAAATTTCCAAACAAATTCACTATGGTCATTATAGCTTTTTATCTTCAATCCTTTATCAAAGGTCCTAAAAAGTACATAAAATAAAAATTAGGATAGCAGAAATCAATGAGTTATAGAATAAGAAATTAAATTGCCATTTTTCTGGCTATAAATTAGCTACATGTAAGTTCCAACACTACCTATTGACAAACTACTAGAACAACAACAACAAAAAAAGTCAGCAAGCTACCTGTATATAAAATCAGTATTTTAAAATGATTTCTCTGGCCAGCGCCGCGGCTCACTAGGCTAATCCTCCGCCTGTGGTGCTGGCACTCCAGGTTCTAGTCCCGGTTGGGGTGCCTGTCCTGTCCCAGTTGCTCCTCTTCCAGTCCAGCTCTCTGCTGTGGCCTGGGAAGGCAGTGGAGGATGGCCCAAGTGCTTGGGCCCTGCACCCGCATGGGAGACTAGGAGGAAGCACCTGGCTCCTGGCTTTGGATCAGCGCAGCGTAGGCCATAGCGGCCATTTGGGTATGAATCAACAGAAGGAAGACCTTTCTCTCTGTCTCTCTCTCTCTAACTCTGCCTGTCAAAAAAAAAAAAAAAAAAAAAAAAAAAAAAACAACACAACAACAACAAAAAAATGATTTCTCTAAACTATCAACACTTAGAAAATTTCAGAGGAGTACCATTCATTATAATAATAAAACATTACTATATCTAAATTGAACACAAAGCAGGAAGGACCTTTATATAAAAAATTATAAAGCTTTATGAAAGCAAAATTAATCATAAGCAAATGGAGAATGAATCATGTTCATGAAAGGAAAATCTAGATAGTATAGAAATGAATAAACACATATACTGAGAAAATAGTACTGAGAGCCCAGGAACTGATTCTGTATTTATGGAGCCATGCATAATCTATTAACATAGGAAGAGTAATTACAATGATTCTGGATCAATTCACTATCTATATGACAAAGAGGAGATTAGGTATCTAAAATGAATTATACACAAAATGCACTCCAAGTGGATAAAAGTTGAATGTTAAATAATTTTGCAATTTAAAAAAAATATTGGATAATATATTTATGACAGGGTAGAGGAGGACTTCAGGTAGCAGATAACAATGCAAGTACAATGATTAATGAAATTGACTACCTTGAAAAAAATCACAGGAAATGAATAATAAAGTTGACTATTTAAAAATTCAAGCACTCTGTTTACTGAAAGACACCACAAGATGAGTGAAGATGCAAACCACATAAATCTACAAATAAAAATGAGATGAAATGAAGTGAAATAAATGAAAAATAAACAAACTTAATAGATGACTAAAGGACAAGAGTGGACATAAGATGAATGACAAAATACACACAAAATGATCAAACTAGAAATTCAGAAAATGTCAATGAAAATAGCAGTTTTTAGAAAAACAACACTTTAAAAGTCATAAAATCAGTTGAAAGACTATGAGAAACAGGTTAAGTACTCTGGGGACATGAATAGGGATAGCACCTTGGAGAGCCACTTTGCAATAGCTGATGGGACTAAATGTAGGCCCTCAGAGAGCATGGCATTCTGTTGCAGGTGCACACCTTGCAGCTGCACACATGTGTACGCAATGGAACTAGGAACGTTGACAAAGGGAGGAAAAATCCAACGTCAGAAGGAACTCCTCTCCTAGAGAACATGGAAATGGAATAGAGTGTAGGACTCTAGTTATACTAGTAACTAGACTCTGACTTGTAACTTTATAGACTCTAGCAGATTTTGATGAAACAATGAAGCAGAAGACCTGAATGAATTCATGGGCATTATTACATCATGCTATATTTGATTTAAATATTTCATAATTTAGATAAGTTAACAAAGGTTGTGATTAGAATATGTTAGACACATTTTTCTTTTGAGATTCAAAAATAAAGCCTATTAGGACTGATGGGTGCATTGTTGAAGAAAATCATTCATTTGTCCCTCTAAGTTGATAACTTTTGCTTGGCGACAATATTAGTAGAGCACAAGTAATATAGCTGCTTTAAAATTGCCTGCTTATTTATTTATTTATTTATTTTTAAGGCTTATTTTTACTCCTTTTCAAATTGGCAGATTTCTTGAATTGTTTACCCTCCCCCTTTTTGTAAAGATTTATTTATTTATCTGAAAGGCAGAGTTACAGAGAGGGAAAGGCAGAGAGAGAAAGGGAGAAAGAGCGAGAGTGAGAGCGAGAGCTCACTCCCCAAATAAGCACAATGGTCAGGGCTCTTCCAGACCAAAGCCAGGAGCTAGGAGCTTCATGCAACTCTCCCAGCAGTGATCCAGCAACTGTATACAATAAAATAAAAACAATAAAATTGTACACAATAAAATAAAAACAATAAAATTGCTTTTCAAGTGTCTGCCCCACATTTCTTCCAGTAATGCACTAGATGTTCCAGTTTTTCTACATTCTCATCTACACCTTGTTATTTCACCCCATGTATTTTAGCCATCCCAGAAGGCATGTCATTGTGCTTTAGGTTTGCCTGCAATGCCTAATGATAGCAGATATCCTTCTAATTGCTTATTGGCCATGTGTATATCTTTGGATCATATCTATTCAAATTCTTTTCTCACTTTTTGTTTATTTGTCTTTTTATTGTTGAGTTATAAGAGATTTTTATGCATTTTGGATACAAACCAGTTATTATTACATGATTTGAAAATATTATCTCTCATTCTTTGGGTTATATATTACTTTCTTTATAATATCCTTTTTAAACTTTTATTTAATAAATATAAATTCCCAAAGTACAACTTTTGGATTATAACTGCTTTTTCCCCCCAAAACCACCCTCCCACCCACAGCCATCCCATCTCCCACTCCGTCTCCCATCCCATTCACATCAAGATTCATTTTCAATTATCTTTATATACAGAAGATCAATTTAGTATACAGTAAGTAAAGATTTCAACAGTTTGCACCCACACAGAAACACAAAGTATAAAGTACTGTTTGAGTACTAGTTATACTGTAATTCACATAGTACAAAACGTTAAGGACAGAGATCCTACATGGGGAGTAAGTGCACAGTGACTCCTGTTGTTGATTTAACAATTGACACTCTTATTTATGACGTCAGTAATCACCCGAGGCTCTTGTCATGAGCTGCCAAGGCTATGGAAGCCTCTTGAGTTCGCCAACTCCGATCTTATTTAGACAAGGCCATAGTCAAAGTGGCAGTTCTTTCCTCTATAATATCCTTTGAAGAGTAAAAGTATAAAATATAGATTAGCTTCTACTTATTAATTTTTCTTTATCACTTGCTTTTTTGGTATCATACTCAAGAAATCATTGCCTAATCAAAGATAATGAAAATTTACTCTTAGATTTTCCCTGAAATACTTTAAGTTTTTACATTTAGATTTGTGAACCACTTTGAGTTAATTTTTTAAGTATGGTGTTAATTAGGGGTCCATATTGACTTTTCTGTGTGATAATTTCTGATTGTCTCAATACAATTTGTCAAAAATTTATTTCTTTTCTTAAACTTTTGGCAGCCAACCATTAATTTAAAGACTTGTTTCTGGGATGTCAGTTCTGTTTCATTTATCATATGTATCCATATATGTATCCATATATATATATCTATATATGTATCCATATATGTATCTGTAGATGTATCTATATATCTATATAGGTATCTATTTATGTATCTGTATATATCTATGTATGTATCTATAGATGTATCTACAGGTATATCTATCTATGTATCCTTATGCTACTGATACTGTTGATTATTGTGGCTCTGTAGTAAGTTTTGAAATTGGGAAATTAGTTTTTTTTTGGTATATTTGGATATTTTAAATTTCTATTAGGACTGCTAATTTCCACATAAAAGTTAGCTAGGATTGTATTGAAATTATAGATGAATATGTCTTCTGATTAATGGTGATGGATTCTCTCTCCATTTATTTGGGTCTTTTAAAATTTCTTTATGTTTTGTGGTTTTAGGGTATAAATCTTGTCTTTATGTTTTATGGTTCTACGGTATAATTGTATATGGTTTTAGGGTATAAATCTCATACTTCTTTCACTAAGTTTGTCCCCCAGTATTTTATTCTCAGTACCATTGTGAACGGAGTGGGCTTAATTTTGTTTTCAGATTTTTCTTTGCTAGTATACAGGGGCACTTAAATTTTATCTGTTGATCTTGTATCTTGTAGCTTTGCTGAGCTCATTTATTTGTCTTTGGTACTTTTCAAAGTGTATTCCTTATGCTTTTCTGTATTATTTGTGAATAGAGAAAATTTTACTTCTTCTTGAATGCCTTTTATTTTATCTTTTTGTATAGTTGCTTTGGATAGAAATTCTAGTGTGCTGTTGGATGGAAGTGGTGAAAGCACATATCATTGTTTTGTTCCCAATGTTAGAGAAAAATATTCAGTCTTTCTCTATTAAGTATGAAGTGAGTTGGAAGTTTTTCATAGATGTCTTTTATCAAGTTGATTAAGTTCCCTTCTGGTCCTAGATTTTTGAGAGTTTTTACAGCACAATGAGTGTGCTGTGAATCACCTGTTTTGCATCCATTGGGGTGATCATGTGGTCTTTGTTCTTTATTCTACATTGTATTAATATTATTAATATTATTATTATTCTAGGTCTTCAGTTTTTCTGGTGAGGCCTGCAAAAAGGTGGTATTTAATGTACCTTCTCAACTGGAGGCAGACAAAATAGTCGGCAGAGGTGAGAAGTTTTAAACAAATTTTTATTTAAAAAAAAAAAAACCCAGAAATTTAGTTTACCAAGGCTGGAAATAGGATGGTATTTTATTTTTACTTTTGGAATTAGCCAGAATCTACTTATTAATAACATAATTCAAGATAATTTTAAATTATGTTTCTACTTTTTATAATTCTGCAGTAAATTCTAGATTAAATGTTCTAATTATATCAATCATTACATATAAAAGCATTTTATTTATTCTATGATTTTAAGCTTTAGAAGAATATATACAAAGTGGTTTATTTCATGCCACTTCATGATTTTCAGAGGCTTATAGAAATTCTTGTAACATTTTGTGTGTGGGAGCATTTACCTTACAATATGGAAATTTTTCTTACAGTTAATTTCAAAGAGTGCCTCAGGTCTGCAGACCTTATCCAGTCAAGTGATCCTGATTTCAGAGTTCTGGATGATGGGTCGGTGTACACAGTCAGAGCTATGATGCTGTCTGATGAGAAAAGATCATTCACCATATGGCTTTCTGACATAAAGACGGGGATACAGAAAGAGATTACTGTGCTCCTAGAACATCAGAAGAAGGTATTCAAAGTACATCGTATATTTTCAGACATGTTCAGTTTTTATTAAAATACTCTATTTGAAAATTGCAGTGAGGAACAAAGAGTAATTAGGGAATGCCCTCCTCTCCCCTGCTGCTTTCCCTTTTCTCCTGTCTACCTATATCCCAATTTTCTTTTCTCCATGTCTTTTTTAATCTTAATATTGTCAAACACGGGCTTCACTTGTCCTTTGCTAAATCTATTGTTGTACCTATAAATTCTAATTAATGGCTTTTATGTACCAGTGTCAGTTTGCTTATTCTTCTATTATAGCATTCAGAATTTTGTACTACTGGAAATATTTTATTAGGAAGGCAAATGGTTATGAAAATAGTCACTGAATGATTAAGGATTTAGACTGGATCACACCTAATCTATGCTAACTATTAACAATAAAGCTAATTTAAAATGACTGATTAGCACCTTCCTAAAGTGTTAATAGAATTATTTATTATTTAGTTCTCATGAAATCTCCCTTACTACACCATGAAATGAGATAGTCTTCAATAAAGAGTTCAAAAGAACACTTTGCAATGATAAAAATGTTTTATAATTTTCACTGTTCAATATGGTAGCTCATTATTAATGGCTACCAAGGACTTGGCATATGGCTGATGCAACTAAGTATAGAACTTCTAACTCATTTAGTTGTCAGATTTATTAAATCTATTAAATTCATTAAATTTAAATTAAAGTAATCACAGAGCCAGTGCTGGCTGCCACCTAAAATATTAGACAAGGCACATAGATCAAAGGCAGTAAATGATTTGCATTTCTTCCCATTTCTTACCTTAGAACATGAATTTTTAGCACCAAGAATATGTAAGGGCTGTATATTTTCTGTCCTTAGTTTGGACAGGGCAAGAGGAACTACTATTAGAGAGATTAATTTTTCTAACTTCAATGTAAGGTCAGTACTAGAAAGGTATACAAAAGGAAATTCTCTAGTTTACAAAACCTTTAAAATCTAGGTACATTCTTTCCTGCACTTTTAATGAAAAAAGACTTTATTAACTGGCTTAGCTGCAGCATGGAAATTTCTAAGAAGGAAAGGTTAATGTAATGGGCTGTCCACTATTTTATACCAAAGTAAAAAATGATACTTCTGTTGACTTACTGTTTCATTCTCTGAATTCAGGTCTTGAAGAAAAGACACACTAAAGAAACTGTCCTCCGACGAGCCAAGAGAAGATGGGCACCTATTCCTTGTTCAATGCAAGAGAATTCCTTGGGTCCTTTTCCTTTACTGCTTCAACAAGTAGGTTTACATTCCTTCTAATAAAGAGTGCTTTGTTCAGATCAAGTAACTTTTTCATTTTCCTTTTTAATTTTGCTTATGCAAAAGGCAGAAGAAGAGAGAGAGAAAGGGAGAGGGGTGACAGGCACTTAATCCACATCTTTCGTGTGGGTGGCAGGGACCTCAATACTTGAGACATCATCTTCTGCCTCCCAGAAGCACATTATCAGGAGCATAGCTGGGATTGAACCTAGGCACTCCAACATGAGATGTGGGCATCCCAAGTGGTGATGTGCCTGCTGCATCACATGCCTGCCCTTGATAACTTTTTGTACATTTCAAAATAAATAGATATGATTTAAGATGTTTATGAAGTATAATGAAAGTGAGTAATATGCAAAAAAAGGAAATCATTGAAAAACTAATACTGTGAGACAGATTCTACAGTCATTCAATGATCTGTATGCATTTACTCATTCATTTAGCATTAGTTACTGGTGCCTACTATATTCTGTGGAAGGTACTCTTCTCATGCTCCTTGCTCTCATGTGGCTTGCAGACTAGTGAAGGAGATAGAAGTAGATAAATGATGGTAATAGTGGTTAGTAATGATCTGCTAGCATCTGAGATGGAAACCAAGCCCTGAGATAAAGTGGTAAAACAGAAGAAAAGGCTTAGTGGAGGGGCCATCTGAGTCGAGTCCTGAAGGAAGGAGCAGGCTTGTGCAGGCAATTCTTGTGGAAGATGAGGGAGGCACACAATGACAGCACGAATGACTGCTCAGAGGAGCTGTGGGGAGCTTAGGCTTCCTTGATGATGGGATTGAACAGCAAGATGAAGCAGAAGAGTCAGGTAGGGGTCAGGCTCTTATGAACCAGGCCGTTCTGAAGCTTAAGTTAATTATTTAATTCTAAGCATTTTTAAGCAGAATAACGACATGATTAAGCTATGCGTTTTTGTTCAAATTTAATGAAACATACACCATGAAAACAATGACTAACGTAGGGCTGTGGCCCTGTGCTTGCCCTTTTCTCCGTGAATTTCTGTTACTACGGTTAGTGCTGGTACTGTGACCTGTGTGCTACCTGTTTGCATTTTTAACTATCTCTCCAGAGTCTTTCACACTTACTTTTTACTCTCTCCAGGCTTAGATCCTTGTTTCTTCTTCATGAATATTGTACCCGAAACATCGATAAGTTATATCAATCCTATTTCTGGTTTTTTATCTGTGAAGCCAGCCACCAGCTCTCAGTCCTCATTGCTTTGACATATGTACATTCCACATCGTTGACCTTTACCTCCTTGAAATATTTTCTTCTCTTATGTTCCAGGACACCATTCAGCTAGTGTTCTGCTCACCTCATTGGCCTCATTACTGTGTGTTGTTGATTCTTCCTCATTAGTCTTTTACTTTGGAGAGCTGTCAGGTTCATGAACCTTGCCTTTTGTTTACTTATATTCACTCTCAGTGACATCACCCATCTCATGGTTCTAAGTGCAATTTATACACAGGATACCTGAGATTTCATATTTCCAGGTCAAACTGCTAATTGGCATTTCCACTTAAAAGTTTAATAGAAAAATGTGATTTAACCTCTACAGATCAAATGCTTTGTCTTTCTCCTAAAAACATCCTCCTATCTCATTTGATGGCAGTTCCCACCTTCTAGTTATTTTGGCATTGCCGTCTGATTTGCAGAGTTTTATTTACAAAGTATAGTCCTTTCTAAGTATTTAAGAGACAGAGATTTATCACCGTGTAATAAAAGCTTACAGACTTGTTAGGAGGAGCTAAAGAAACAGAATTTGGGTAGATTTTTCAGGAACAAATCCATGAAGTATCTATATCACAGCCTGGCAACCAATAGGCATGTTTCTTTTCCTGTGCCGGAGAAGACACTGATTCTTGAATTACAGTGTTGCTGCTACATTCAAAAGTTCAGTCAGGAGGCTGCCCCTTCTCCTGCTGTGACCTACTCCATCAGTGTCAGTAAAAAGATCAACCTACATCCTATATTAAAAGATACAATTTGGGGGCCGGCGCCGCGGCTCACTAGGCTAATCCTCCGCCTAGCGGCGCCGGCACACCGGGTCTAGTCCCGGTCGGGGCGCCGGATCTGTCCCGGTTGCCCCTCTGAGGCCAGCCCTCTGCTGTGGCCAGGGAGTGCAGTGGAGGATGGCCCAGGTGCTTGGGCCCTGCACCCCATGGGAGACCAGGAAAAGCACCTGGCTCCTGGCTCCTGCCATCGGATCAGCGCGGTGCGCCGGCCGCAGCGCGCCAGCCGCGGCGGCCATTGGAGGGTGAACCAACGGCAAAAGGAAGACCTTTCTCTCTGTCTCTCTCTCTCTCACTGTCCACTCTGCCTGTCAAAAAATAAAAAAATAAAAAAAAAAAAAAAAAAAGATACAATTTGGGAATAGCTCCCAGAACTTCTGTTGCTGCAGAAAAAAATGAAAAAGAAAGCAAAAGCACTGAATGGTAACATCAGTAAAAGCAGAAGCAGCAAAAATCATGCGTCTGCTATACTTTTGGCTTCAACATCTAAAATCTTGCGCAAGCACACAGGATGGTCCATATTTGTTTTCTGAGGATTCTGGAAAATTTGGGGGCCTTTTTTTTTTGAATCTTTCTAGCATTTACACTATGAGGAGATATGGAAGGACAATGAGATGGACATTGTGTGCCAATTTCTGTATCCATTTATTTTTCTCACTGTTAAACTTTTTAGGAAAAGATTTATTTATTTTATTTGAGAGGTAGAGTTACATACATTGAGAGGGAGACACAGAGAGAAAGGTCTTTTGCCTGCTGGTTTACTCCCCAAATGGCCAGAATGGCTGGAGCTGGGCTGACCTGAAGCCAGCGGCCAGGAACTTTTTCTGAGCCTCCCACATCGGTGCAGGGGCCCAAGCACTTGGGCCATTTTCCACTTCTTTCCCGGGCCATAGCAGAGAGCTGGATAGGAAGAGGAGCAGCCAGAACATGAATCTGCCCCCATAGGAGATGCTGGTGTTGCAGGCGGAGGCTTAGCCCACTACGCCACAGCACCAGGCCCCACAGTTATTCTTTTAAATACCTATAGTATTACAGGATATTGATATTGGTGCATTTTACTGAGATACCAAACAACAGTGGCTTAAACAAGACACAAATTTATTCCTCTCATGTAAATGGATGGTCTAACACTACAGACCCAGGTGCTTTTGTTTTTTGGCTTGATCATCTCTGCAGGTTCAAGATGGTTCATCACTGCATCCAAAAGGGAGAACACATTCCTTCACCTTTTATAACACTGCTTGGTTCTTGCTTATTTTTGATCACCTCCCATTGGCCTGATCTTTGTTTGTAGTTGTATCTAATTTCATGAGTAACCGAAAAGCACCTTTCTTCTGAGCCTTGTGCTCAGCAGTGTATTCTAATAGCAAGAAAAACAGGAAAAATAGATAATAGGGGATGCTAAGGACCCTTTAAGACAGTGTTATCCTTGACTTCTATCTTCACCTCGTATTTCTAGCCAACTTATGGGCTCTACCTTGACATTATATCCATAATCTATCCACTTCTTTTTTTTTTTTTCTATCCACTTCTTGCCACGTGTGCAACACTCTGTTACTCTGTTGGTATAATAAGCTTTCCTTTCTCCCCTGAGCTTTTTTTTTTTTTTTAAAGATCTATTTTATTCATTTGAAGACAGTTAGAAAGAGAGGTATAGTCAGAGAGAGAGAGAGGTCTTCCATCTGTTGGTTCACTCCCCAAATGACTGCAACAGTCAGAGCTCAGCTGATCTGAAGCCAGGAGTCAAGAGCTTCTTCCAATTCTCACACATGGGTGCAAGGGCCCAAGGACTTGGGCCATCTTCTACTGCTTACCTGGGCCACAGCAGAGAGCTGGATTAGAAGTGGAGCAGTGGGAGCTCCAACCGGCACCCATATGGGATGCCAGCCTTGCAGGCCAGGGCTTTAACCTGCTGTGCCACAGCTCGTGCCCCTCCCCTGAACTTTCTAGATAATTGTCCTGCTTCTTCTCCTACTACTCTCTCAAGTATATTCTTGACAAAGCAGCAAGTATCATACTTTAAAAATATAGAAGAATCCTTTAATAAATAATATACAGAATAGGATAAATATTTTCACTCTATGTCTGATAAGGAAGGGGTTAATGCAGAAAATAAAAATAATAATTCAATGACAAAAGGACTATAAATAACCCAATTAAAATGAGCAAAAGATGTGGATAGACATTTCTAAAGAGAAGACAAAACAATTGTCCAACAAATACATGAAAAAAATGTTCAACATTGCTAATCATCAAGGAAATGGAAATCAAAGCCATAATGAGTTTATCACCTCACTCATGTTAGGATGGTTAACTTAAAAAAAAGACAAGAGGGGCTGGTGCCATGGCTCACTTGGTTAATCCTCTGTCTGCGGCACCAGCATCCCATATGGGCACCGGGTTCTAGTCCCGGTTGCTCCTCTTCCAGTCCAGCTCTCTGCTGTGGCCTGGGAGGGCAGTGGAGGATGACCCAAGTGCTTGGGCCCTGCACCCACATGGGAGACCAGGAGGAAGCACCTGGCTCCTGGCTTGGATCAGCGCAGCGCTGGCCGTAGTGGCCATTTTGGGGGTGAACCAATGGAAGGAAGACCTTTCTGTCTCTCTCTAACTCTACCTGTCAAATAATAAAAAAAAAGACAAGATATAGCAAGTATTGACAAAGATACAAAGAAAAGGAAACCCTTGAAACCATTGGTGGGGATGTAAATTGGCACAGCCATTATGGAAAACATTATGGAAGCTTCTCAATAACTTAGAAATACCATACAATCATACAATCCAGGATTCCTACTTTTGGGTGTCTGTTTGAGGGAACCAAAATCAATAGCTTGAAGAGATGTCTGTACTTTCATGTTCATTGGTGCATTATTCCCAAATAGTCAAAATATGGAAACTTATCTGTGTCTACCAATAATGAAAGTATAAAGAAATTATGGAACATTATTCAACCATAAAAGAAGGAAAACCTGTGGGCTGGTGTCATGGTCATCCCAAAAGACTAACCATTGCAACATAAAACCTTTCCCTATTTTGTATTAAAGAGAAAATTACAATAGAAATGATATAAAAGAACAATAATATTCATTGTTGTTAAAGGTATGGCAAGCAGGGGTTCAATGGATGGAAGATTCTCTCTCTCTCTTCCTCTCTCCCTTTCAAATAATAAATAAATAAACATCAAAAATAAACAATATATAAACACAGCAGCAAACTTTTAATGAATTTTAGTTGAAGTTTTTACATCTATGTTTTTTTCCTTTCAGGTTCAATCTGATGCAGCACAGAACTATACCGTCTTCTACTCAATAAGTGGTCGTGGAGTTGACCAAGAACCTTTAAATTTGTTTTACATAGAAAGAGACACTGGAAATCTGTACTGTACCCGACCTGTGGATCGTGAAGAATATGATGTTTTTGATGTAGGGGTTTTACTGATAAACGTGACTTTACATTATTAAACTGTGTTTCTTCTGATGCACACTCCATCTACTCTTTCCTGTCTCCTTATACTCTACTCTGAGAGGGTACCTTAAAGTCAAAGGAAAGTATAATGTGCAACATTTGGAATGCTTGATTGGCTCTTTATCTCAATTTTGTTAGGTAAGTCTGAAAGAAGGCAATGGAGTTTAATTGTATTTGAATCTAAATTCCAGTAAATTTCCTGGGTGTTGATTTTGATTATGAAACATTTTCTTTCATTGCTACTACATTTCCCTCTCTCTAAGACCTATCCAGAGTCAATTGGCAGGATCTTCTTTCTTTTTTTTTCTTTTTTTTACTGGTCTACCTTTTTTGCCTTCATGCCTATGTATGATTTTTTGATTTTTTAAAATAGTTTATTTATTTATTTGAGAGGTAGAGTTACGTTACATACAGTGAGGGGGAGAAACAGAGAGAAAGGTCTTCCTTCTGTTGGTTCACTCTCCAAATGACCGAAACAGTCAGAACTTAGCTGATCTGAAGCCAGGAGCCAGGAGCTTCTTCCGATTCTCCCACGTGGGTGCAGGGCCCAAGAACTTGAGCCATCTTTCACTGCTTTCCCAGACCATAGCAGAGAGCTAGATCAGAAGAGGGGTGGCCAGGACTAGAACCAGCACCCATAGGGGATGCCAGCGCTACAGGCAGAGGATTAGCCTACTGCACCATGGAGCCAGCCCCGCTTGTGTATGATTGTCTGATCATGTCTAAATCTAGATAAGGAAGCAAAAGTGGGAAACCAAATTCAAATAAGGGTTTATAAGCCAGCATTCTGATATGGATGAGTTTAGAGTTGATGGGAAATTACTCAGACAATTTTCAGTGTAATATGGTATATAGCATGGGTCCTGTGTCATCTGTGTGGTTTAGTGGGATTGATTTACCATTGGGAAGAGAGATTCTATTGTAGGATAAAAAACATTACTGGTGTCCCCCATAGGGAGCATATTCTTTATTTTTGGCTAGAAAATGTTCAACACAGTGTTGTAATTACATACTGAATAGAAATACATTTTTTGGACATCTCATTGCCTTTCATTAATTAATAATAAAAAACTTATCCTGTTAGAAAAACTTTTTAAAATATCTGTTCTATGAAGTAAAACAATAGAAGATCTTAGAAGTGACAAGGTTGGGACTTGTGGGTTATTTAGATGATGTAGCAGAGATTTTTCACATTGTGTAGGGTTTAACTGTTCTCCCTGATGTAACTTTCTGATTATGGAGAAAATAAGGATTATGTTGAGTTGCCATATGAGGGGTCTTCAAAAAGTCAATGGAAAATGCATATTCCAAAAAAACTTGAAGGGATTTTGATTTTTACACCATAGTAAGCTTATCTTGTAATTATTTTTCTAGGAACTTTTTAAAGAACCCTCATATTCACATTTACTCATTTTCACATTTAATTCCCCAGAATAGTGGACAGAGTCATCCCTGTCTTCACTGTACTCTGCCTTAAGTTTTATTTGAAAGGTATCTATTTCCACAAAATGCTAAATAATCTTTGCTGTAAGGTATTTCTCTATTTGATGCTTTGATAATTTAAGAACTATTGGGCAAAAATCTTTGAAGTGCTTTATTACTGGAAAGTTTTGCAAAGAAGGTAACAGATAGAACATCTTCTCATCTCTTTGATAGCATCTGATGGATTATTAAATTAGCTTTTTCCTGTCTTACAGTTGGTTGCCTATGCGTCCACCGCAGATGGATATTCTGCAGACTTTCCTCTTCCATTGCCTATCAAAGTGGAGGATGAAAACGACAACCACCCTGTTTTTACTGAAGCAGTTTATAATTTTAAAGTTCCAGAAAGTAGTAGACTTGGTAAGGCTGCTTTTATGTTAAATATGTTTGTGTGCATATTTTTGAGACATTGAGCTTGTTATACTCCAGGTTAGATCACATGAGATAACATTGGACTAGTATCTATGTACTGGAATATGTTTATTCCATCTATTCTAATCAAAATACACATTTTCCAAATATTCAGGAGCTTTTGTTATTGTCCATATGACACTAATTAGCTATCATGATATCTAATAGTTATTTAAACTTTTACCTCTTTTGGCTTATATATTTTATTTCATTTTCTCATATATGGGTTTAATTTTATTCTAATCTCCAAGAGACTATTTCAGATATTTTAATGAGGTTTTATTTAGGGAGATGTTACAGTCATAAAGGATGATGTTGTTAATTTATTAGTTTCTAGTAGTCACTTAGAAAGTCACTGAATTATTGTAACTCCTTTTTGCCATTATATTTTATTTTGATACTTTGATGTAATTGATGATAACCTCTTTATTACTCACATGTATAATTAAAAAATAAAATCACTGATCACTGATTTAGAGTTCGGGAACCTAGTTTTTGGTAAGAGTTCATTATGTCACTGTGGGAACTCATGGGAATTTTTTTCAGTTCTCTTACCTGTAAAAGGAGTTAATTATGTTAGATGACCTATAATGCTTTTAGCTTAATAAATCTGTGAATCTGTTACATTTTTCGTTTTTCCAAAATAGGTGATCGGTTTCAAATTCTTTCTTGAGAATTTCAGTTTCTTTCAAAGTAACACAAGCACTTTACTGCCTCATTTAATGCCAGGTACTTTAAATATTTCACATCAGTAGGTTCAGAGCAGTTGAAGGTGTGATTCTAAGGGGATGAGAGAGAATGAATAAAAAGAAGGACTAGTAAAAAAGGCCACAGAAAAGAGAGACTGGCTTACAAAAGGTCAACTTACATCTATCCAAATATACCTCTAATTGGTCTTGATTTTGCTACTGATCAAAGTTCAATTTAAAAAAATTCTGAATTACTAAGGGGCAATTCCTGTAAGGTTTGTTGTTATTGAAATATTTGGGGATATATATATGTATGTATATATATTTCTCTTTTTAAAATATTCATTTATTCATTTATATGAAGGTCAGAGTGAGAGAGAGAGAGAGAGAGAAAGGCTGAAACCAGGACCCAGGAGATTCATTTGGGTCTCCCACATGATTGGCAGGGGCTCAAATGCTTGAACCAGCTTCCCTGCTTTTGTGGAGCAGCTGGGACACAAACCAGTGACCATATGGGATGCTGGCATCCTGGGTGGTGACTTTATCCACCATGCCTCAATACTGGCTCCGAATTTTTCTTGATTGCATATAACCAACTTCTTTTAGTACTTTACCATCAAACATTTTAAACTGTGAGCAAAACACAAGTATATCTTGATTCTCACAATCAAAATGTTTTATGTTAGAAATCTGAAGTCATCTTCATCAATCGTAGCTAAAGACAAAATGCCTCTTGTTAAGTAATGTATTTTAAGTTAGGTATCCACTATTCCAAAAAGTGTAAATATTTTAAAAATATTTTACAATTGTGGAAATTAAAGATTATTTTTAAAACCTGCAGGTACTACTGTCGGGGTGGTTTGTGCCACGGACAGAGATGAACCTGACACAATGCACACGCGACTGAAATACAGCATTTTGGAGCAAACACCAAGATCTCCTGGGCTTTTTTCTGTGCATCCAAGCACAGGTGTCATCACCACTGTCTCTCATTACTTGGATAGAGAGGTAGATTGCACAGTCCGTGGAATATCAATTTACTAGGGATTGAGCCTGTTCCCCTCCATTTACTGTAACTTGCTAGCCTATGAGTTAAGAGTTTCCAATTTTATTTTAGGCACAAGAATCCTTGCCATTTTCCCTGTGTTTTACATTATTTTCATTTTCTTATGTAAGAGAGATCATTAAGAATAAAAATACAGAACAAGCAGTGTTTACAAAGGGTGATGAAATGCTATTTACTATGAAAATAGTTGCTATTGTAGAATATTTTATTTCTGGTGTGTGGTTGGTTGGTTCCCACTCAAGAAAGTCTTCAAATGTCATGTGAGAAGTAAGTTTTGCTTGTTCCATGATTATAGATTATATCCTGATCCCTATCTAGTTATTATATAGGTATAACCAGGAAATGTTTGAGATCAAATTGATGAGTTATTAAAAATCCATAATATGATTTGGATGATTATAGTAGTATAATGTTACGCATTTAGTACTTTGTGTTCAAATGTTTTACGTATAATTTTATTTCATCATTTTAATTTCCTTGTTTTATCAGAATAGGTACTATATACAGTTAATGGAGAAGAAATGTGACTGCCAGAGATTGATTGACTTGCTAAAGTCAAATTATTGCATAAAATCTTTTAATTTTTTGTTGTTTTTATTGCTCTGGTTTGTCAGCCTACATCTAACTCAGAGTTCAGCATTTTTGAGATGGGTGAATCACCTTTGCATGTGTGATGTAGCTTATCAGAACATTTTCATGATCTTTCTTATAACTGGAATAACACAAATAGAAGGGTTAATATTACTAAGAGAGATCTTAAAAAGAAAAAAACTTCAAGAAATTTTGTAGCATTGTGGAAACCTGTAAAAAGGAATCAAAAATAGAACAGAATTTTTTTTTTTTTTTGGTGGGCTGAAGCATTTTATGTGACAGACTTAATGATTCTAAAGGGGAAAATGTGAGGGGAACAATAGAAATGCTTTTGTATCTGTGGAGTATCTGAAAATGATATGGTAATCAAGTGAAAATGGACTCTCTTACCTCAAAACCCTGTTTTTTTTTTTTTTTTTTTTTTTTTTTTTTTTTTGATAGGCAGAGTGGACAATGAGAGAGAGAGAGAGAGAGACAAAGGTCTTCCTTTTTGCCATTGGTTCACTCTCCAATGACTGCTGCGGCTGGCACACCACGCTAATCCGAAGCCAGGAGCCAGGTGCTTCTCCTGGTCTCCCATGCAGGTGCAGGGCCCAAGCACTTGGGCCATCCTCCACTGCACTCCCTGGCCACAGCAGAGAGCTGGCCTAGAAGAGGGGCAACCGGGACAGAATCCAGCGCCCCGACTGGGACTAGAACCCGGTGTGCCAGCGCTGCAGGCAGAGGATTAGCCTAGTGAGCCGTGGCGCCGGCCTTGTTCATGTTCTAAGAGAAATGTCTCTCCTTCTGCATTGTCCATGTAAATTGGTGATATCTCTATCTGCCCATCTACCCAAGTAGCATATCAGCTCTGGACTCAGTCTTCTTTTTGTTTTTAACTTGTGTAAAGACTCTGTTATCAAGGCTTACCTTAGTAGAACAGGAAAGTGTGACAGTGAAGAGAAATCAAAATGAAATGAAGAACTCAATAGATCAAATGAAAAACATATTATTAGAGAGCCTTAAAAACAGAGTCAGTGAAGCAGAAGAGAGAATATCGGACAGAGCATAGGAAAGTATACAGTGAAACCAAAGAAAAGAAGAGGAAGTTAGAAATCTAAAATATTGTTGGAAACACCTAAGTAAGTCTTTTGTAATTCATTTTCATTGCTACTGACTCAGATTTGGATCCACTTGTCTTAGATTATCACAAGAGCTTTTTAACTGGTTGCTTTGACCCCTTCCTCAGCTCACCCCAAATTATGCTCAATCATCTTTTAAAAGAATACTGTGTAGAACACAGATATCTGGGGTGGGTGTTTAGCCTAATGATTAAGATGTTGATTAAGATGCTTACATCTCACGTGGGAGAACTTTGGATTTGAAAACTGACTCCAGGTCCTGGTTCCAGCTTCCTGATACTGCAGATCCTGGGAGGCAATGATGGCCCAAGTAATTGGGTTCCTGATACCCACTTGGGTGACCTGGATTGAATTCTTGGCTTCCTGCTGGTGTTTGGGTAGTGTCCCTCATATACCTATTATTGAAATTCAAATGTTCTTATTTTGTGTTCTCCCCATGACTCTCATGAAACTTCTCTATTATCTGCTAATTATGCAATTATGGCTCCTGGTAATTTAAGCTCTACCTAGATTTTCAGCTTCAAACTTGTCTAAGAAATTATTAGAATGTATATGAATGAGGAAATCAATAAAAATACAGGTGAACACAAATGGAAGAATGTGCAACTGAGATTTCATTTATGAATCTAAACAAAAGTGTTTAAGGCATCAAATATTTGCATTGTTTTCAGGTTGTAGACAAGTACATATTGATAATGAAAGTACAAGACATGGATGGTCAATTTTTTGGATTGATTGGCACATCAACATGTATCATTACGGTAGAAGATTCAAATGACAATGCACCCACTTTCAGACAAAATGCTGTAAGCATATACTATTGAAATTTGTCACTGCTTTGTTTTTTTATCAGTTGCTATTGAATATGAATAAAATATTTATCATACTTTGAAGTATATATGTTTACTTTGTGAATATAATTAAAATATAAATAAATGATGAATACATTTATTTTGTTTATTTATGTTAGTATTTATATTATCTCCTTTTTGTAAAAGGCCAGTAACATTAGAGTCTTCATTTGTAATGAAGTTCTTTCATTTAAAAGATTACACTTAAAGAAATAATAGTATTTGTGATTTATGATTTTAAAATGATCTACATAAAAACTCAGTAAGCATTTTTGGAATGGATGAAACATTTAACTGTCTTTATTAAAAATTCTCTTTATATCATAAGTTTTTAATGAGTTCCTTCTCTTTCCAGTATGAAACATCAGTCGAGGAAAACACATATAATGTGGAAATCTTACGAATACCTGTAGAAGATAAGGATTTAATTAATAGTTCCAATTGGAGGGCCAATTTTACCATTTTAAAGGGAAATGAAAATGGATGCTTCAAAATCAGCACAGACAAAACCACTAATGAAGGTGTTCTGTATGTTGTAAAGGTAAAGTAATGATGGACGATTGACAACTTGGTAATTAACAGGTTTTAATCAATTAAATAGTTACAGATTATAAACTCTATAAATTGGAAAGGAAAGGAATTTGTAATCTTTTTGGCTTGACTATTCCTAGCTAATATCTGCCTTTCTTCTATAATATCTTTGTCAGTTACTTGTCACCTAGCAAATATGTTCAAACACTCTCTAATATGAGACAGGAACGTTCCAAGGGGTAGCTTAATTGCTGTGCCAAATACCTATACAATATTTCCTAACTTTTAAAATTATTTTTTGCTCATTTTAGAGGCAGAGAAGAACAAAGAGTGATCTCCCATCTGCTTGTTCACTCCTCAAATGCTCACAATAGCTGGGCCTGGGCCAGATCTCAATATCTAGGGTTCCCGTGTGAGCAGCAGGAATCCAATAATTTGAGTCCTGCCTCTGCATTGGCAGAAGCTGGAGTCAAGAGATAAATATGGGAATTCAAACTAGGCAATGCAATGTGGAATGCAGGTGTCTTAAATGAATACCTACTCAATTTTTAACATTCAGAAAATTTTAGAATGATTTACCATTAATTGAGCGTACTTTATGTCACAGGAAATGATACTAGGACAATTTTATATAAGTTATATTTAATTGTCACATCTGCTTTATGATAAGATATTATTATCCCCAGTTTACAATTAATAAAAGAAAAACAACTTGAGACTGATGGAGGTACATAAATTCACGAAAGTCCAACATATGAATATAGTAATTATTCACCCTGGAATTCAAGCTAGGTTGTGTAGCTGCGGAGTCAGTGATCTTTATGTTCCTCCACGCTATAGCCCATTAAGACCATATGGCAGTTGGTACTCATTATGTCATGGTGGCCATTTGCAGCATCCTATCATACAATCCAATTATATTCTCATGTTGATACCTTGCTCCTAAACCAACCTTAACAAAATAGAGAACATTTATTACTTAGGAAATGCTGGACATTATGCCAAGTGCTTAACCTGTAGTATATCACTTGTTTTAAGTGTCAGTAGATAAAAAAGTCAATAGATTATTTACTATATTATAATATACTTTAAAATTTATTGATATATAAATTTAAATTTTGAAAAATCAATCTGGTTAAAAATTTAAGAGGAAAAGTGCAGAGTAAAATATCTCACTTTCACTCTGTTCCCCTAAAACTAAGTTTTTCCTGAAGGAATCCATAGTATTATTAATTTCTATGTACTATTGCAAAGATATTTTATGTATATACAAATATGTTTGTTAGTTTTACCATGTTTCTTTTTTTAAAACAAATGCATTTTTCTTCACTAAAGATATCTCTGAGATCATTACACTTTCATGGTACAGATATATAATACAAACCGATCAGTGCCATATCTAAGGAAATTTAGACCATATCAATTAATATTCTATGGCCCCTGACCTGCTCTTTTTTTATTCAACAACTTATCTATCATGCCATTAAACATTGGGTGCAAATAGTTTTTTGTATATTTTTTACTGTTTGAATATGGTAGATATTACAATATAATATCCATGGTATGGCTAGAACATAACCAATTCCATATAAAAGTAAATTTAGTTATATCAATGGAAATTATAATCTTTTATTTTATTTCAAAATATGTTACAATGAATAACTGTGTATATACATTATTTCACAATGTGTAATTTATATGTAATATAAATGCCTAGAAATGAAATTGTTTAAAGACATGGCTGTTTTAAGTAGAAGATTTATTTTTTTAATATTCTTTCCTGTTGGATTTTGTTTATAATTTGTGTGTAAGATTTATATCCAGAAGCACAAATGAGAGAGATTTGTCTGCATTTTTCTTCTTTTGTACAATTGCTTTTAAGTTTTATTATCAATTTTATAGTTGCTTCTTAAAAATACTTTGCTACTTTCCTTCTTTTTTCCATGCTCCCAAACAGTGTAATAAAACCCCAACGACATTGAATTAGGAGATTTATTTAACCCTCACAACAACCCCTGCTGTTTTGATTTCTAGATGTGAAGGCTGAGTGAAAGGAGAAGGAATGTGCTGCAGCCCATTTAGCTAGGATAGCTGACTTGTGCCCGGGCGCTGAGTTCAATGTCTTCACCAGTCCAGACAGATAACTCCATTCATGCAGCCAGGATGCAAACCCAGATGTGCCTGAGACAAAGCCTTACTCATAATCCTTGAGCTGCTCTCTTGCTAGCTTGATATTCTTGGTTCATGTTCCTTTATATTTCTTTTATACCTGGGATAGTTGACTTGATAAAATAGTGACTTGATTTGTTCAAGGAGGTCTTCTCTTTTTGGAACTTCCACTTAGTACTACTTTTCCAAATTGTCTTTTAAAATTATCTCCTATTGTCATCATCAGCTCCTTGATTAATCTTCTATTCTTTTTGAATTGTTCCTACTATCCTCTATCATTTTGATCAATAAAATTTACATTTACTCTGTTATATCTTCCTTTATTACATTTTCTTATCTTTGTGTTTGCAGCCTACCAGCTCCTTTCATCCAGTTCTTTATGCAATATCTAATACTTCATTCTGTACTTATCTCTACTTGCTGTGGAGTGCTAGAAATTACTACTTCTATCTGACTACATTTTGGCCTTCCCATATTTTATTCAAATGTCTAGAAACCTGAAGGAAATATAGAGTTCCTTTGATAGCTACAGTTGTCTATGAAGATATCTTACCCTTTTCCTTAGAAAAGAATTGTGATTGTGTAGTCAAGTTATATCTTTACGTGCTTTTTAATTGAGTCATTTTCTATTTTAAAGCCGGACACTGTATTATTAGGGTCTTTGAAATCTATCCTTGTGTCATGTAGGCTATGTGCCCAGTTATGACTAACCTTCTCCTTACTGGTTAAAAGAAAAAATGACATCATTGCACTAATTATTTTAAAGTATTCCTCTTGTTCTAATGCCCTCATCAGAATTTTACTCAGGATGGGGGTCTACTTCTCTTCTCCCTGTATTCTCTAAAGGATTAAATAATTAGCAGGTTAAACCAAGTACTGCACAGGTATATTTCTTCTAGCTGAATAAACCTTGCAAACATTGTCTTATTAGTTGACATTTCTTGTTAATACATTATGTTGGCTGTTGATAAAAAAAAAATACAACACTTATTCCTTTCTCTGCCTGTGTGACAACTAGAGAAAATACTAAGAACTGTAGTGTAAAGCACTTATTTTATACTACTATTTAAAAATGATTTATCTACTTATTTCTTTTTTTTTAAAGATCTATTTATTTTACTTGAAAGTCCGAGTTACACAGAGAGAGAAGGAGAGGGAGGGAGAGAGAGAGAGAGAGAGAGAGAAAGAGAGAGAGAGAGAGAGAAGTTTTCAATCCTCTGGTTCACTCCCCAAATGGCCAAAATGGCTGGAGCGTGCCAATCCAAAGCCAGGAGCCAGGAGCTTCTTCCAGGTCTCTAGCGCAGGTGTAGGGGCCCAAGCATATGGGCCATCTTCTACTGCTTTCCCAGGCCATAGCAGAGAGCTGGATTGGAAATAGAGCAGCTGGGTCTCAAACTGGTGCCCATATGGGATGCTGGCACTGCAGGTGGTGGCTTTACCCACCACTCCAAAGCGCCGGCCCCTTATATACTTATTTCTAAAAGTTGGACTTACAGAGAAAGGAGGAAGAGTAGAAGGAGGTTCTCCCCCCAAGTGGCTGCAGTGGCCAGTGCTGGACCAGGATAAAGCCAGGAGCTTCATCCAGGTCCCCTATTGAGCGACAGGGGCCCAATCACTTGGGACATCTTCTGTTGCTTTTCCCAGGTCATAAGCAGGGAACTGGATCAGAAATGGAGCAGGGGCCGGCGCTGTGGCGCAGCAGGTTAAAGCCCTGGCCTGAAGTGCCGGCATCCCATATGGGCTGCTCCTCTATCAATCCAGCTCTCTGCTATGACCTGGGAAAGCAGTTGAAGATGGCCCAAGACCTTGGGCCCTTGCACCCATGTGGGAGACCCAGAAGAAGCTCTTGGCTCCTGTCTTTTGAAGGGTGCAGTTCCAGCCCTTGTGGCCATCTGGGGAGTGAACCAGTAGGTGAAAGACCTCTCTCTCTGTCTTTACCTCTCTCTGTAACTCTGACTTTCAAAATATAAAAATAAATCTTTTTTTTTTTTTAAAAGAAGTGGAGCAGCCAGGAGTTGATCCCATATGGAATGCCAGTGCTGCAGGGGGTAGCTTTACCCTCTATGCTCAGTGCCAGCCCCATGCTTTCAGTTTTGAACATTATTCATACAACAGTTGTGTAGAAGAAGAAACTTGCTGTTAGAGATTAAGAGACTTTCCCAAATCATACTACTAGGATGTAACAGAAACAGGATTTGAACCTAAGTCTCTGATTCTAAGCATACACTCTTAAGCACTATGCTCAATTGCTTCTCATGGCGGTATAATTTTGGAAAGTTGTCTTCTGTATTTCTCTGCCTCCCTAATAACTATGAAAATGTAATAGTGAGAGTAAAATCACTTGTTAAACTGTAGGATATTAGTGTTTTGTATTAAATAGTCTTACCATGTTTTGGGACTAGTGTTGTAATTTTTCACAATAGGTGACTTTCCTGTAACCATGTAGAGCACGCGCTGATACGGTCATGGACGATTTTTCCACTTCAGTGTTTTCCCTTTCATCAGCAGCGTGGTGTGTCTGGGTTCGTGTGACGATGCTGTTGTTCTTGATCGTGCTCAGCATGGAGAGACCTCAGTTTTGTCTCCATGACAACACATTTTCTAGGCTGTTGTGAATACTTCAGTGTAGATATAGGATATCTTTGAAATAATTTTTAGTGATGAAACTAAAAAAGAATTCACATTCTTTTATTTATTATTGGGATTTCGTCCTACCAGATTTCTAGCATTGCAGTTTTAAGTCACTAAAGCAGTATCTAGTTTAAGCTTAGAAAAACTGCATTGTTACTATAAATGCAGCATCTGTACCCCAAGTTTCCTCCATTTCTTGCATGCAGTTGCCCTTTTTCTGCAAATAGTACCTACAAGTGTAATTTGTGAATTTGTGAGACAGTGTTCATTCCATCAGATGAACAGATATTAGTGCTCTGTCCCTCTTGACTTTGTAGTTCCTGGAATATTCATTACAAATTAAAAAATTATGTACATTTTGTAGCCTGTAAAATTCAGAAATTTTCTCAACTTTTTAGTGGACTCATAATAATCAGTATGTCAGTCTATTAATATCAAAAATTTTCTCTATGCTCAGTTTTAAATATCAATCTTAATGCATAGGTGTAAAAAAAGTTTAAAATAGTTTTATTCATAGTCTGTAATTTTTTTTTCAATGCCTACCTACTTGTTGACTGTGTAAAAACAAAGAGAATCAAATAGAAAGTGTTTCTAAAGTATAGTGCAAATTAATGTTTTTGTATTTTGCTAAATTTTTTTTGCTAAAATTTAATTATTCTAAAAATATTGGGGGGCCGGTGCTATGGAGTAGTGGGTTAATGTCCTGCCCTTAAGCGCTGGCATCCCATATGGGTGCCGGGTTGAATCCTAGCTGCTCCACTTCTCATCCAGCTCTCTGCTATGGCCTGGGAAATCAGTAGAAGATGGCCCAAGTCTTTTGGTCCCTGCACCCATGTGGGAGACTCAGAAGAAGCTCCTGGCTCCTGGCTTCGGATCAGCACAGCTCTGGCCATTGCCGTTGGGGAGTGACAGTGGATGGAAGACCTCTCTCTCTCTCTCTCTCTGCCTCTCCTTTCTCTGTGTAACTCTGACTTTCAAATAAATAAATAAATCTTTTAAAAAATATTGATTTAAGGTCTGGTGCTGTGGCTTAGTTGGCTAAGTCTCAGCCTATTATGCCAGCATCCCATATGGGTGCTAGTTCCTGTCCCAATTCAGCTCTCTGCTTATGGCCTGGGAAAGCAGTGGAAGATAGCCCAAATGCTTGGGCTCCTGCACCTGCTTGGAGGACCCAGAAGAAATCCCTGGCTCCTGTCTTCAGATGGGCCCAGTTCTGGCCTCTGCTGCCATTTGGGGAGTGAACCAGTGGCTGTAAAACCTTTTTCTCTGTCTCTCCCTCTGTCTATAATTCTACCTCTCAAATAAATAAATAGAATCTTTAAAAAATATTGATTTAACAGTTTTCAGAGGTCAGTGACCCAGTTAAGCAGCATAGTATAGTGGAAGGGTTATAGATTGATGGTTAAAGAAATGGACTGAAACCAGATAACATGGTCAAACTCCAGCCCAGAAGAGTCTTTTGCCTTAGGAAATTCCATTTCTCTCTCTCTTTTCTAGTTTCCTACTTTGTAAAATGGTGATGATGATAACACCCACTTCATAAAGGTGTGAGGATTCAGTAAGTTAATCCTCACTGTTTAGAGCAGTGCTATAATGTATATTTAATGAAGATTACCCCTAAGTACATCACATTTCTCTTACTTTTATGTGTTTCCATTGTCCGAGTTTCACTGGATAAATTATAGACCATTTCAAAGTATAATTCTAAAAATGTCACAAGTAGAATTTTCATACAAATATGTATTGAGTATGTGTAAAAGTTTAACTTAAGTCATTCAGAAAGGAGCTACCAAAAAGTAAAATAGATTCCTAAGAGATAATCAGATTCTGGGTGGACTTTGATAAAAGGAAAACCTGAAATGAAATGACCCAATTGGATGCCTTGTAGGGCAATTAAAACAAATTCTCTTTTGTGTTAGATAGAAAATAAAATCATTACACATTTTCAGTTTTGTTTAAGACAGTATCTAACTTTTCAGGGCTTGTGGAACACCTGGGACCTTGTCATTAGTAGATAGTGAGTCAACCAAAGTTGCCTTCCCTTAGAGACTAAGATGACCTTTAGACCTGCTGATTAGGCACTGTCATCTTTTTGCATCACTTGGAAGTTCAGGATAACTTTCCTTGATAAGATAACTGTAATGATGTTCCAAGAATTCCTTTTTCATTACTCTATAAAAACAGCTGCATGGACTTTTGGACCAATTTTGCTAAAGGAATAGCACAGAATCACCTCTTAAGCAAAGGGTAAAAGTCAATATTGACAAAATGTGAACACAGAATGTTTTCAGCATTGTTCATAATGACAAAATTTCATTTGCTCTATGAAATAGCAAATGTAGTTTACACTGATGCCAATATGCATTTTCTTCATTTTAAAGCCATTGAATTATGAAGAAAACCATCAAGTGGTCCTTGAACTTGGAGTAAGCAATGAAGATCCATTTGCCAGAGATTTTGCATCCAGAGTGCCAACCATGAACAGAGCATTGGTTACAATTCATGTGAGAGATCAGGATGAAGGACCTGAATGCAATCCTCCAGCCCAGTATGTTCGGATTAAAGAAAACTCAGCAGTGGGCTCAAAGATCAATGGCTATAAGGCATATGACCCTGAAACTAGAAATAGCAATGGCTTAAGGTACAAAGAAATCTGTAACCACATATTAATAATGTATTTGGAATAGTTTAGATGGTTACTTATTTAAAAGACTTCGGCTACTAAATGTACTTCTCTTTTTTTATTATAAGGTACAAAAAACTGAATGATCCAAAAGGGTGGATCACCATTGATGAAATTTCAGGGTCAATCATAACTTCCAAATCCCTGGATAGAGAGGCCATGGCCTTCAGAAACGACTTATATAACATCACAGTCCTGGCAATAGACCAAGGTATAAAGAAAGGGGAGGGGTTAATTTGTAAATGAATTAGAAAATCAACTGCAGACATTTTTGTGCAGAATTATTTTGTGATAATTATATGGGATACTTAAAAAAAACTACTCCTATTTCTTTTAATCATCTAACGAGGTAAAACTGCTTGGTGACGAGATGACATGTCTTATTTCTCTTTATAGTCCCAGTATAGGAGACTCTTAAATGCTTAAATAACTATTTTTTTAAATGTCATGCATAAAATACTCAAATCTAGGAGCAGATGAAAGGATCTCATCAGATTGATCCAGAGTTTTGTTTCACTTGATCAAGGTTTTATATGGTTCAGCTGATTATTAACTCAAAATGCTCTTTCCTTGAATTCTGTTTCTTAAAGTCACCCACAGATGCTCAGCCCTGGCTTCATGCTAAAATTAAATATCAATGTATTGATACTATTTTAGATTAACTGACTCAGAATCCCTGTGTGGAGCCTTGCCATTATATATTTTAAAAGTCTCGCTGGGTGGTTTGACTCTGCATGGGATTACAATAACTGTCCTGTAGCCACTTACTGCTCAACATCTATACCAGGAACCTAAAGAAAGATCATGGGGCTGTCACTGTGGTTAAGCAGATTAAGCCACCATCTGTGATGTTGTCAGTCCATATCAGAGCAGAAGTTCTAGGTCTTGTTGCTCCATTTCCAATCCAGCTCCCTGCTGATGCACCTGGGAAAGCAGAGGAAGATGGTCCAAGTACTTGGGCCCCTGCACCCACAGGGAAGACCTGGATGGAATTCCTTGCCCCTGGCCTTGGCCTGGCCCTGTCCTGGTTGCTGCAACTGATGAAAGATTTCTCTTTCTCTCTCTGTCTCTCTCTCCTCTTTCTGTCACTCAACATTTCAAGTAAATAAAATAAATATTTAAAAAAGGGTTTGAAATTCAGATATTTATTTTTATTGTTTGATAACCATTTTGGTAAAATATTTATGTATTTGATAGAGTAGCAGTAATTAGTTTAAATTAACTACATATTAAATTTATCACTCCGATCTTATTTACATTTCTATTATGATCAGAGTTTGCAAAAACCAAAAGCACCAAAATACCATATATGGATATATGGATTCTAAATGATCTTTTTCCTTAAGAAACTATAAAAGAATTTAAAAGCAACACTAAATCCTATTCCTTTCTTTGTAGATGGTAGATCGTGTACTGGAACACTTGCTGTGAACATTGAAGATGTGAATGATAATGCACCTGAAATACTTCAAGATTATGTAACAATCTGCAAATCCACAATGGGCTACACTGACATTTCAGCTGCTGATCCTGATGAGCCCGCCCATGGAGCTCCATTTTATTTCAGCTTGGGAAATACTTCTCCAGAAATTAATAGAATCTGGACCCTTCACAGAGTTAATGGTATTTAATAATGAGTGGCATTTAATAATGAATAATGATATATCCTGAAACCAACTGAGAATAACTAGGGAATAGATTTGTTGCTTACATAATACATAAAATAAGATTGATTCTCATTAATATATTTTGGAGGGATAAGCTAGTTTTTCACAAATATTAAAATAAATTATAATTTTTATGAAGGCAAAGTTTATACTATAACAAGGGCAAAGATCCTTCATTAAAATATTGGATAGTTTATAATTAAGTTTATCATTTTGAAAATATATTTAATATTGAAATCTTCACAAAAACTTAATCTGTTTGATTAAGATTGTGTATTCTCTAGTTATATACCATACATTAGCATTTGTGGATATGAATTTCACAGGAAAGTGAATGTATTTTTTATTTTATTAAAAATGATATACTACACCAACAAGAAAAATGTATAATCTCAAAGTGAGATTACATTTTTAAAACAAGATAATTTTTAATTTTAATTTTTTCATTTATAATATTTATGGAGTACCTACTGTCTATCAGACACTGTTCCAAATCCTGATGATATTTATACAGATAAACAAGATGGACAAAACTTCAGCTTAATGCTCAACCTTGGTGAAGTCTTTCTTGAAGTGGCAGTGACACTGTGGCTTTCGCTAGCTGTTTGGTAGCACCTCTCCTATTGAATTTCCATGCATTTATTGCTCTCCTCCAGTACATGGATTTCTCAGAACATTTGTAATTCATCTTTTTTTTTCCCAGCACCTAACCAGAACTACTAGATGCTAGCTACTTACTAATATTTGTTTATTCTATAATAGATGAATAAATATACATAAAAGAAGAAATATACCAGGGGAATAAGGAAATCAGAGTTGCTTGTGTGTAGAAGGTTGTTATAGGAATGTCAAGTGGGTGGCAGGAATGGTAGAATCTGGTGGTGAAGGGCCTTATGTGCCAGTCCTAAGAGACTGACCATTGTAGAGTAGGAAACAAAACAGCAAGCATGCATTGAAGTGTGGAAATATGGCAATGCAGCTCTCGTTTGTCCAGGTTTATGTCTTACAAAGGTGACAATTTAAAGAGGGCAAAACTGAGTAGTAAGGAAAATCTGAGGCTACTGCACTACTGTGAATAAATTATATGACCGTGGTTCAGCTTATGATTGTGATGGGGGAGGTCTTATTTTACACATAAAGTAGTACTGAAGGATCCAAAATGAAGCCAAGTTTAATGAACGTTTCTTTGAGGAGCTCTTAGATATGCAGTGCAGCCAAATAACTTGAAAGTTCTTAACAGCCAAAATGATTTATTTATCAAGGTTTAGAAATACATCATGAATTCCAGGATATACCTTATGCTAAACTTACTCCACCATTTCACTTGGTCTGTTACAGAAATTTGAGCAGGCTGTATCTGTCATTGAAAATCTATGGAACTTTGGGTTGGGTGATAATAAGGTCACTAAAATGGGATATTAAGAGTGTTGGAAAAATTTGGCTATCACACTTGATAAAAACAAATTGTTATGATATAGACCTACCTGGTTTTGTATAAGCTTTATAAGCAGCCTGAGTAATATTAATTTGCTTTCTGGCATTGAGGTTACTACCAGATATAAGGTGTTAATTGGTAAAGTTCTGTTGTGCTTTGAAAAATTACCTTATTCATAAATGTAACAGATCGATACCAAAAGATAAATGTATAAGAGAATTTGAATTTAGGACATCGTTTGTGTTGACCTGAAGGTGTTAATTCTTTATGAGTATCTACACTCATTCTAAAGGAAAATGCTTGAATCATAATAGCCAATCTGGTATTATTAGTTTGCATAACTAAAGAAATATTAAATATTGCTAGAATGCCACTGGGTCACTCCAATGCCAAATTGTTTCTTTAGGGAAGTCTTACAAAGTGTTACAAGGGGCTCAAAAATGTTGATAATATGTTGATGACAGCCCTCCATTTTTATTTATTTATTTTCTCTTCCTTAAGAATAATAGTTTTTAAAATGAATTTTGTGAAATGGATTCTAAGGGTTGGATACATGGTCATTACAAAAACCCAATTCTTTTATTTTCTTTCAGATACAGCTGCCCGTCTTTCATATCAGAAAAATGCTGAACTTCAAGAATATTTCATTCCTATTACTGTAAAAGATAGAGCAGGTCAATCTGCAACAAAAACCTTGAGAGTCAATCTGTGTGATTGTACTCACTCAAATCAGTGTTTCTCAGCCCCGAGGAGTGCACGAGTAGAACTTGGAAAATGGGCGATCCTTGCAATATTACTGGGAATAGCTCTACTGTTTTGTAAGTGCTTTCATTTACTTAAAGTTAAAATATATAATAAAAGATTTAAGTTCAGGAAAGGGTCTTTAAAAAATAAACTTGTCCAAGTATCCGTTAGGCATACATCTGTTTTCTAAATTTCTTCTGTGTTATTATCTGAGTTCTGTTAAAATATTTTGTGTTATAGGGTACATTATGATTCTTGAGGTAAAAGATTTCAAACTTGGACTTGAAAGTTCCTTGTATTGCACTAGATCTGCCAAAATATGGCTTTTCTTTCCTGATCCTAGTGCTACCTCTTTTAGAGCTAAAGAGAGCAATGTGAAAGTTCTGCCATATGAAATTCCACTAAAGCCCACTTTAATTTCATGTTTTCTCACCACTCAGCCACAGAATTATGGGAGATGTTCAGATTGCAACAATGCCTCTTCTTGAGTATATCTTGCCAATGTTGCACTCTAACTCCCTTCTTGCAAGTTGTGCAGTTCCTAATGGCACCTTATTTTCCCCTGTTTTTACTTCCATCCAGTCTTCCAGCCTGGAGGAGCTTTGTTCTGTGATAGGAGTCATTAGTAAGAGCAAGTCTATAGAACCAGGCTGCCATGGTTTGTACACCAGCTTTGTCACTTGCATGCCATATGACTTGGATCAGATTACTTCAATCATCTTATCTATACAAGGAAACAATTTTAGTGTTCTACCTTGTGGGACAGCATCTGTGAAGTGCTTAGAGACATGTATAGCAAATTTCTAATAAAAGCTTATTATTTTTCATCAATTCAGCAAAATGAATATATATGGAATAAGTACTGTATACTAGAAACTGTTCTGGATGTTTGGATTAGTGAACAAAACAGACAAAAAACAAATGAACCACAAACAATTTGCATTATGGCAGAAAATGCATGAATAAGTTAAATGCTGTGAAGGAAAAAAATGGAGCAAAATAATTAGGAAACAAAGTGCAACAGAATTTGTGTGTGAGGATTTTGGTGTTAGTGATTGAGATATTTAGTAGATAGTCCAACCAGGCATAACTGAGAAGGTTGTTGCTGATGATTTTTGGAAGAAGTGAAAGTTATCCATGTAGAATACCTGTGGGAGGGGAGGGATTTCAGTTTGATGGAAAGTCAGTGCTGAGGTCCCAAATTGAATATATGTCTAGAGAAGTCAATGCATAGCTGGAAGATCAGTGTAGCTAGAAAGTAGTGGAAAAAGACAGGATTAGGAAATGGAACCTTAAAGGAAACACAGGGCCACATAGAGTAAGCAAGATGTGTCACACTTTTCCTGTAAAGAATCAGATTATATATATGAAGGTCTTCAAGTGAAACCATATTTCAAAATTTTTGTATCAAAATTAAATTTCTTTTTTTGTTCCATTTTTCATGAATTTTTTGAAGTACCCACTAAGTGTATATTTTAACCAATCATATCTACCCTATAACAATAAAGCATACATAGAAAATTTGTAAATGAAGGCATAATTATGGTCTAGTAGAACTTTTATATGGGTATTAGGAGTTTCATTTCATGCTGTTTTCACATATCATGATCTGCTATTTTTATTTTTTTATCAACCTTTTAAAAACATAGTCTTAGCTCGTGGCCTGTACAAAAACATGTGGTTGGCTGGATTTGGGACCCTGTTGTGCCAGTTTGTCACATACAATTGGTAGAACATTGTAAAGATTTGTTACTGCTATTTCTATTGGTTGTATTTATTTCAAATCTCTCACAATTATGAGTAGAATAAAAATGGTGAATAGACAAGACATAAAGTATGTTGAATTAAGATAGTTGGAAATAAGTCTATTTTGGGAAAAATGTCTGGCTAGTGTTTTTGTATTGGCCAAAAGTACTTTTGGGAAAAATCAGTAAGCCTTTTCAATGTCTTTGTCTTAAATAAGTGTCAATGATTTCTTAATATACAATTTAACTCATGATTCAAAATATTTTAACATAATGGGCAGAATTAAATCCCTTAATCATATAGAAAAATTATCAAAATGCATATGATCTCTGCAGATTGTAAATTCCAAGCTAAATTCTGGCCTGTTAATTTAGAAAGGCAAGATAATTTAGGGGAAACCACACTTATTGGCTTTATTTTCCCTCTGTGCTTCAAATAACAAAAATAAAGGATTATTATTTTATACTATGTTTAATTAATATACTATGAATATTATTTTATATTCTGCACATATAGATTATTTTATATTGTGCATATACTATGCATAATAAATTAAATTACATCAAATGTGTATTAAATTAAGGTTTTTAATTTTTTTAAACTCAGCTGTATTGCTAACTTTAGTATGTGGAATTGTTGGTGCCAGAAAAGGAAAACATTTTCCTGAAGATTTAGCACAGCAAAACTTAATTATATCAAACACAGAAGCACCTGGAGATGACAGAGTGGTAAGTAATTCAGTGGATATTTATCTTTATTTCTCATAATTTCTATAACTCATCCTTATGAGGTTATTTCACGATTTAGGAATGAATTAATATTTTTAATTTGACCAGAATTAGTAGGTATAAATATTTTGTCTGTAAACATTCAAATGTTTGTATAGTGGCATTTATTAAACTGGTCACACTGTTTTTGTTCTTTTCCAATCTCTGGTGTTCTGATTTAAACTTGTTCTTTGATGTTGTAAATTTATTATAACAATGAGCTTGTTGGTCACTCTCTACAATGTTTAGTCTCAGATATTATTTGTTTATCTAACTGATCATTTATAAGAAAAAAAAGAAGTTTGCTGAAACTTCTGAAGATAACCTGGAAAACATCAAAGACATTTATGCAAAAGGAGTTGGGTTGGAAGATTTCTTCCATTCTCTTTGTTTATAGATTTTTGGGACCTCTGATGTGCTTGTTATTCTGTGGGAAGTATACTAGGGACTTCCAAAAGTTTGTGGAGAATGAAATTTAAAAATTTTAATTGCTGCAAAATTTTAAAAAATATTTATTTATTTATTTGAAAGGCAGAGTTTTAGAGAGGCAGAAGCAGAGAGAGAGAGACAGAGTGAGAGAGAGGTCTTCCATCTGCTGGTTTACTCCCTAGATGGCTGCAATGGCTGGAGCTGAGCCAATCTGAAGCCAGAATCCAGGAACTTCTTCTGGATCTCCCATGTGGGTACAGGGGCCCAAGGACTTGGACCATCTTCTGCTGCTTTCGCAGGCACATTAGCTGGGACCTGGATTGTAAGTGGAGCAGCTAGGACTCAAACCGGTGCCCATATGAGATGCCAGCACTGCAGGATTCTATGTCACAGCGCCAGCCCCTGTAGCAAAAATTTTTGAAGTTCATGCATACAAAGTGAATTTGCAAAGTTGATAAGAAATACGTATTATTAAAAATGATGCATGGATTCCAAAACTTTTTTTCACCAAAAATAAACTTCTCTCTCTCTTTTTTAAAACTTTTATTTACTAAATGTAAATTTCCAAAGTACAGCTTTTGGATTACAGTGGCTTTTTCCCCCTCATAACTTCCCTCCCACCCACAACCATCACATCTCCCACTCCCTCTCCCATCCCATTCACATCAAGATTCATTTTCACTTATTTTTATATACAGAAGATCAATTTAGTATATACTAAGTAAAGATTTCAACAGTTTGTACCCACACAGAAACACAAAGTGTAAAGTACTATTTGAGTACTAGTTATACCATTAATTCACATAGTATAACACATTAAGGACAGAGATCCTACATGGGGAGTAAGTGAACAGTGACTCCTGTTGTTGAGTTAACAACTGACACTCTTGTTTATAGCGTCAGTAATTAACCTAGGCTCTTGTCATGAGTTGCCAAGGCCATGGAAGCCTTTTGAGTTTGCCAACTCCGATCCTATTTAGACCAGGTCACAGTCAAAGTAGAAGTTCTCTCCTCCCTTCAGAGAAAGGTACCTCCTTCTTTGATGGCCCATTCTTTCTGCTGGGATCTCACTCACAGAGATCTTTCATTTAGGTAATTTTTTTTCCAGAGTGTTTTGGCTTTCCATGCCTAAAATACTCTCATGGGCTTTTTAGCCAGATCTGAATGCCTTAAGGGCTGATTCTGAGGCCAGAATGCTGTTTAGGACATCTGCCATTCTGTGAGTCTGCTGTGTATCCCACTTCCCATGTTGGAGTATTCTTTCCTTTTTAATTCTATCAGAGAAGAGGAAAAAGCCTTAGGAATAAAAAAGGCAATGGCAAAGTTCAGGGACTGTTAAACAAGTAATAAGTAAGCTGATCTGGAAATAAAGAAATCATGTGTTGTAATAGAGACTTAAAACTTAAATGAAGTTGAGGGTATGGAGAAAGAGGTAGAAGAGAGAAGTGGGGGCTATCCCATGGGAACGATTTTGGATTTATTCTCTTGATAAGGAATAGCTTTGGTGCAAAAGGCTTTTCTGCAAGGCTTTTCTGCGGGAGTTTGGCCAAATGTAAGCCTTTGATGTTGAGTCAGAAAGGAGATTAATGAAAATAGGAAGACATTAAAGATGAGATAGATGAAGGCTTAGGAGATTTTGAAGTTTAAACATGAGATTACTGGAATGATGGTAATGGAAATATTAAAATAAGGATGCAGAGAATATTTTTAAAAGTCATAAATAAGTTACTGACTGATTGGATTTAAGGCACAAAGTAAAAAATAGAGATGAAGAGGCAAAGTTATAGCCAGAGACACTAACCACATGCCAGTTCTCTGTATTTTGGGGTAAAGGTGTTATTTCTCGCTTTTGACTTCTTCCCACCATTCACAATCAGAGTCCTTCCATGTTTGACATGTCTAAAATCAGAAAATAGGTCAGAAAAGTGGATTTAGTTTTTTTTTTATTTCTTTACTCATAGTAAGTTCTTATTTTATATCTTGTAATGAATAACCTTTCCTTAATATTTATTCTTTGCCATTTGGGGCTACAGTTGATGGAATTGATTGGCACTTCACAATTTTTACCCACTCTCTCTTAGGAACACTTCTAAAAGAGGTTTGGAATTATTTATTCATGTAGGAAAGTTATACAAATGACAATAAATTTCATAATGAGTATACAAGAACATGTTAGTACAATGAGAAAAGGTGGTGATTTTTGTTTTGGTTCAGAGTTTCAATTGAAGGCATTCCGATGAGGTTAGGATTTGGGTGAAAAATCAGGAAAAGTAAATCTAGAACTTTATTGCTATGGATAAAGAGTTGTTGCGCCCAGTGAGAATAACTTTGGGGAATGCAGATGGAGATGGACAGGATGGAACAGAAAATTAGCGAGGGTATAAATGCCCAACTGGAGGCTCAACTTTGATTTTAGTTTCTTTTCACTTCTTCTTTTCTTAGCTTAGAAATATGATCTTTGAATTTGTATTTATTATGACAAAGTGATACCATAAAGAAAATTTAATAGCCAGGACTTTTTAAATAGAATTATATTAAGGCAGTAACTCAAGTAAAAAATATAGTATAGCATTGCCACCAAATGGCTATTTTTAATTCTCTTTTCTGTTTCTCCTAAAGTAAAGAAATAGTAGTATGACATTTATAGAATTATTTAAGGTTTGGTAAATCATCTGAGCTGAAAATTTTCCAGGTTACTAAGAAATTTTGTGCATTAAACAGAAAAATCCTGGGGCTGGTATTGTGGCACAGTGAGTTAAACCATTGCCTGTGATGGTGGCATCCTATTTCAGAGTTCCAGTCAGAGTTTCAGCAACTCAGCTTTTGCTCCATCTTCCTGTTAATGCACCAGGAAAGGCAGTGGAAGATGGCCCAAGAATTGGTCCTGTGCTACCCACTTAGAAGACCAGGATGGAATGGAGTTCCTGGCTGTTGGCAGCCATTTGGGAAGAGAACCAGTGGATAGAAAATCAGTTTCTCAATCTCTCTCCTCTCTCTCTCTCTCTCTCTCTCTCTGCCTTCCAAATGAATACACAAATCTTTTATAAAATAGAAAAATCTTATGTTTATCAGAAGATCTCACATTGGAGAGCCTAATTATGAGATCTTTCTTTTTAAAAATTTAATTAATTTATTTATTTGAAAGAGTTACAAAAGGGTGAAGAGGAGAGAATTTCCCTAATCTACACTGTCTTTTTTTTCATAGATTTATTTATTTATTTGAAAAGTAGAGATACAAAGAGAGAAAGGGAGGGATAGAGAGGAAGAAAGAGAAGAGAGAGAGAGAGGGAAAGAGAGAGATATCTTCCATGTACTGGTTCACTCTCCAAATGGCCAGGACCACTGGGGATGGACCAGGCAGAAGCCAGGAATCAGAAGCTTCTTGTAAGTCTCCCATGTGGGTGCAAGGGCCCAAATACTGCTTTCTCAGGCTCAATTGCAGGGAGCTGGATTCGAAGTGGAGCAGCCAGGACTTGAACCTGTTCCCATATGGGATGCCTACATTGTAGGTGGAGGATTAACCTTCTATGCTGCAGTGCCGGCCCCCCTAATTTACACTTTAACACTTGATTTTTCTAGTGGTTCTATCATTAATCCCCCCAACCCTCCCCTACTCTCACCTTGCTTTGATGTACAATTTTCTCTGGATATCTTTTCCTGTGGCTTCAACTACCACATCTTTGATAGTGAATTCCAGAATTTTATCTCCAGGTTAGATTGCTCAGCTGAGCTCAAAATCCACATATCCATAGGTTCATCTTGGATGTTCCTTGTGTTTCTCCTGTTTATGCTTTCAGAATTAAATTTCTCACTCTCCTCTTGCCTTGTCTCCTCTTGCCCTGTCTTAGTGTGTTACACCCTCTGTCTTGATGCCCAAGTGAAGCACAAAGGGACAGTTTCTGACTCTTCGCTTTGCTGCCTCATCCCTCTATACCACTAGTAGACTCTGATGGAGTTCAGCCACTTCTTCAATTATAACTGCTTTGATTTTGTCTTATGTCCTTATCATTTTTCAATAATACAGTGACCCTGTCACCTCAGTGACACTAAACTTATCTTCATATTTGTCTCCCACATTAGTGCCCAGAATGATAATTTTAAGTGTGTTCCACCCCCTAATAGGTGAAATTACTTCATTGGGTATCCATAATCTTCATGATGATGTCTATTTTTTTTGCATGGTTTATAGATCTTTATATCCTCTGACCTTTTATACCTTGCCAGAGTGGGTTCTGTCATTCTCTCTTTCTCTCTCCCTCTCTCTTTCTTACTTTCTCCCTCTCTCAGTCCTCTATGTGATAGCCATTCTCCGCTGACTGAAGCACCCCACTGCCTTTGTGTCCAGACTCTCCTGAAGGTATTGCATCCTTCCTCCCACTCTTCCTGGTCTTTAGTCCCCCAGCTCCAAGTTTTCCCAGACTACTCCACCTGGTCTCTCTGGGTTTGAATTTTGATGTTGTGCTTTTGTGCTCTTATGGCAGTCTGTGCTCACCTACATAGTAGAATAATCACATTCTTAAAGTAATTTTTTGATTTTTCCCTCCATGGGAATAAGAGCTTCTTGAAACCTATTGAGGGACTATGTCCATCATTGCATAGGCCTTGGGATTTTTGAGTATAATTAGAAACTAATATCTGTTGAATGGATCAATGAATGAAAGATTGAATAAGTGCTTTCTCTCTCTTATCTTCTTGTTGATTGACTTGGATATTTCCTCCCAACGTGAATGGCTTTATTTGTTTTGATTTCAGTGCTCTGCCAATGGATTTATGACACAGACCGGCAACAACTCTAGCCAAGGCTTTTGTGGCACCATGGGATCAGGAGTCAGAAATGGAGGGCCAGAGACCATTGAAATGCTGAAGGGACAGCAGACCTTAGACTCCTGCCGGGGGGCCGGGCATCACCACACCCTGGATTCCTGCAGGGGAGGACACGTGGAGATGGACAACTGCAGATACACCTACTCGGAGTGGCACAGCTTCACTCAGCCCCGACTCGGTGAAGTGAGTTTTCCCATGTGTTTTTGACTGTAAAATTTAAATACCCAAGTGGAAAGAATGAGAAATTGAAATTAAAAGATATTTTCATAATCTGCTTTTCTATATTCTTCCATTTCCCTTCTATTGCTTGCTCTGGTCATTTTTAAATGCTTTTTGATTCTTTTACATTATCTAATGTAAAAGGTCTGTTTTATTCTGTTCTATTTCACTTAATTTCTAAAATCTCATAAAAAGTAGAGATTTCTCACATCACTCACTAAAGTTTCATTATTAGATATTGCTTTATCTCATGAAATGTTTTTGATATAGAAGAAGGAAAACAAACATTTCTACACAGTTGTGGGATAAAGAATAAATAACAAAATTTATGTGAAAGATTTATTTTTTGATTTTTGATTTTATGAAAATTTGATAAATTATAATAATGATTTTATATGGTTGAAAATGTTATAGTATACTTATATGTAGAATGTGGAGTGATTAAGTCAAACTTGTTAATGTATTGTCTCAAATACTTATTTTTTATAGTGACAGCATTTAATATTTACTGCCCTACAATTTTGAAATATATAATCCACTATAATCACCATTATATGAAATATTTTTAGTATGTTAGGTACCAAGCAAATACAAACTGTTTTTATTTAGAGGAAATTAAGAATATAAAAGGAAGGATTAATTAAATGAGAGATTCTCAATCCACATCAAAATGCAATGGGAGGCTTTTTTTTTCTTTTTTTTGGTGGGAAGATGCTTTTAACTAATATGAATGCCTGTGCTCTACCCTGAAAGATTCTTATTTAACTGGTTTGGCATCAATTTTTTTCAGGTGATTTATGTGTATTTAGGGTTTAGAATCTCTGGATTAAATTCTCTTTAGTTTATTGTATTTGTTTATTTGAAAGTTAGAGAGAAAAACAGAGACAGACACACAGAAATCTTCCATTTGCTGGTGTCATCCCCAAATGTCGGTGATGGCCAAGGCTGGGTGAGGCTGAAACCAGAGCCTGGAACTTAATCTAGGTCAGTCATCACCTGCTGCTTCCCAAGGGTATGGATTAGCAGGAAGCTGGATTTGGGAACAGTGCTGGGATGTGAACCTAGGCACCCTGATATGGGATACCGGCTTCCCAGATAGCATTGTATCCTCTGTGCCAAAGTCCCTAGAAGTTCTTCCTGGTGCAATGTTTTCACCTCTTTCATCAGAAGATACCAGTGCTATTCCCACAGAAACATCTGATCAGAAATCCTTAATCCTTGATTTGTCTACAAATGGGCGATATTCTGTGATATGTCCATAGCAGGTTTTTTGTTGTTGTTGTTGTTGTTAATTTTTTTTTTTTTTTGTAAAATTGGTAAGTTAAGCCAGTCAAATGTGCTCTGATTTAGAGGCAGAGTGAGCCTACAGATGAGGAAAGGGTAGAGGCCTAGGAATTTTACAAGTCTACAAACAGACTGGCGGCATACCTGATGGCAGTAGACAGGGCTGAATGCCTGGAATCTCTTCATTACAAATGCCCTATTTTTGCAATATGGATTAGGTTGACATTTTAAATTCAATGATTTTTTTTTTGTGCAACTCTGTGTTTTGCCATATTTTGATTATCTTGGAAAACTGGTTCTAAGGCCCATGTAGTAAATCTACATTATTGTTTCACCATTAATTTCCAAAATAATCCTACCAGATGGTCACTGTATTCTCATTTTGGATATGAAGAGAGTGAGACCTAAAGATGTCTAGCAATTTGCTCAAAAATCACATAACTAGTTGGTAAAGCCAGAGCATCGGCTAAAAATCAGTATTGTTAAACATTCAAGGTCAAATTCTTCAACATGATGCATATTTTCTCAACCTTGTGGACTAGCCTGACTTCTAGATATATAAAATTCATGAATTAGCATTTAATCATAACTCAAATGTACTTGAATATAACACTGTAGACATAATTTTGATGTGTATGGATTACTAGAAATGTAGACTATACTGACTTTATAGTACAATTGTGATATAGACCAACCATGTGCGTTTTCTGTGTGTAGGAATCCATTAGAGGACACACTGGTTAAAAATTAAACATAAAAGGTAAATAACAATAAATTTTATGTTCATATGTTTAACTTGTTTTAAACAATAATAAATCCATTTTTAAAAATTTTGCAGAAATTACATCTGTGTAATCAGGATGAAGAGCACATGCCATCTCAAGATTATGTTCTTACATATAACTATGAAGGAAGAGGCTCTCCAGCTGGCTCTGTAGGCTGCTGCAGTGAAAAGCAGGAAGAAGATGGACTTGACTTCTTAAATAACTTGGAACCTAAATTCATTACGTTAGCAGAAGCATGTACAAAGAGATAATGTCTCAATGCTACAATTGGAGATGTCTTTGCTATATGTTTTGGAGGTTTCCAAAAGTGATACTGCAAATTTCAGTTACAATTTACATAGAGATGGCTCCTGACTTATGATGGTGCTACATATTATATTTCAGTTTTATCATGGTGTGAAAACTATGTGCATTCAATAGAAACTATGCTTCAAAGTTTGAATTTTGTCCTTTTCTCAGGCTAGCAATTGTGGTTAATATGCCCTCTCAAGATACTGGGCAGTAATAACCTCAGTTTCCAGAGAACCACAAACTCACAGGGGTGAAAATCTACAGGGTACTGTGTTTCTAAGCTCTGATGTTCAGTAGGTCAGTTGTAGTATATTAATTTTTTTTAATTTAGTAAATATAAATTTCCAAAGTACAGTTTATGGAATACAATGGCTTCACCCCCCCCATAATTTCCCTCCCACTTGCACCCCTCCCATCTCCTGCTCCCTCTCCCATTCCATTCACATCAAGATTAATTTTCAATTATCTTTATATACAGAAGATAGATTTAGTATATATTAAGTAAAGATTTCATCAATTTGCACCCACACAGAAACACAAAGTGTAAAATACTGTTTCAGTACTAGTTATAGCATTACTTCACATTGGACAACACATTAAGGACGGATCCCACATGAGAAGTAAGTACACAGTGACTCCTGTTGTTGACTTAACAATTCGACACTCTTGTTTATGGTGTCAGTAATCTCCCTAGGCTCTAGTCATGAGTTGCCAAGGCTATGGAAGCCTTTTGAGTTCGCCGACTTCGATCTTATTCCGACAGGGTCATAGTCAAAGTGGAAGTTCTCTCCTCCCTTCAGAGAAAGGTACCTCCTTCTTTGATGGCCCTGTTTTTTCCACTGGGATCTCACTCGCAGAGATCTTTCATTTAGGTCTTCTTTTTTTTTTTTTTTTTTTTTTTTTCCAGAGTGTCTATCTCATGGGCTCTTCAGCCAGATCCGCATGCCTTAAGGGCTGATTCTGAGGCCAGAGTGCTATTTAGGACATCTGCCATTCTATGAGTCTGCTGTGTATCTTGCTTCCCATGTTGGATCGTTCTCTCCATTTTTGATTCTATCAGTTGGTATTTATTAGCAGACACTAGTCTTGTTTGTGTGATCCCTTTGACTCTTAGACCTATCAGTGTGATCAGTACATTAATTTTTGACTAAGAATATTTTCATCTATAAAAATGTAATTCCATTGTAAGTTAAAAAAATCTGAATATAAAATGAATTTTAAAAATTTTATATAGCAGTATCTACCAATTTGCTTTTTAGAGCAATGTGTTGCTTATTTTTACCAAGAAGTGCAAAATATTAAAATGCACAACAACCAAATCTCATGCTGTAGCATTAGAATTGAGGGCTAAAAGGGTCTCTTCTCTACAAATATATTCTTAGTAATTATGTTTGGTAAATATTAATCTAATAAAAGCTAAGCTATACTGATACTGTGTTATATACTCACTTTTTATGATAGTTTAAAAATAGAAAAAATATTAAGTACCACTATTTTAAGAAAGTTTAAGGAAACAATATTAAATTTAAAAATTGTGCAACTTTTAAGAATTGATTCAACTCCCTCCACCACCACCCTGCCAATTTCTCTCTTTGAGGGCAAATTTGTTGAGCTGGTCTATGGAGTGACTCTTTTCCATAGGAACATAACTGGAAACAAGTGTGTACATAAATTTTTTAAAAAGTACAACATTTAAAATGAAAAGAAGACAAAGAGAAAAATCTTAATATAAACTGAGGCTGTGATGTGGTTTTCCTGCAATAGGAAAAGTGAGCGAGTTTCTTATGCCTGGCTTTTATGAGCTATATGATAGCACCAGAGCATCACAGGAAGAGTTCATGGCCATTTGTGTAATTTCTTTTGGCATTGTAAACAAGTAAAACTTATCTGATTTCAGTAAGAAGGACAGAGGAAACAGGCGGTGCAATACATTTGCTTTGCAGTCTGTTTAAATACTGTTGCATTCACGGGTTACTAGAAGATTGAGGCATATCTTATAGCTAGAGTTCCCTGCTTTCTGGTGGCAAGTTTCCAGAGAAGAAGTGATGTTCTTGAAAGCTAATACTAAAAACATTTAAAAACTTGTTTCGCTGAAATTAGGTACTCTATCACTATTTTCTTTCTCTCTATTATCTATCAACATCCCTTTTATTGAGAATCAAATAACCAAGTCCTCTTCATTAGAATTTGCAGGCTAAAGTTAGCTGGGGGCAGATCTTACTGGAAGCGTCAATTGGAGAGTGACTGTCCTTCGACCCAAGCCCACAACCCTGTCATTGCTTGTACTGTGTTCTAGTCATATTCTGAGGACAACAAAAAAATTTCTTTTCCCCACCAGCTGCCTGGTTTCAGAGTGGAACTGGTGTGCTTCAAGGCATACCAATACTTCTTGGCACCCTTCTTTCATCTCTATGCCAATATTGTTCATGAAATCTGCAGCAGAGACTTACTTAGATAGCCAAGAATGCTGATTTTCAATCACCTTTAGGTATGTTTCATTGTACCTAAATCATTTGTATCAGTTTGCTTCCTTATGAGACGTTTTAAAAATAATGCAAGAAATAAAGACAAAGATGGAGTTGTCCATTTGGGACACAAAGGATTTCAGAAGAATGCACGTCCATTTAGAGAGCCAGAGCAACCTGAAGACCTAGGCTCTCTTGGGCAAAAGGCGAGAGGCCAACCAAGGACCTGAGTGGTTGTAAAGGCAATATTGTTGGCTTCATTTCCCCCCCTAGGCTTGGCTCCACCTTTTCTGTCTTTTCCCAGGCCAGTGCAATTGTCATCTGATTTTGGCAATGTAGCAGCCAACTTCTCCACGACTCACCTTATTTGGAGTGTGGAATCATGGAGAAGGGAGCTGAGTACATGATGAGTCTGAAGGCATTTACAGAATGGGTCTGGACTGGTTGTACAGAACAAACAAAGCATTCATGAGAAATGCTTTATTCCTTCTATAGCCCTCTGCATACTAAGAAGTTTTTCAATTAAATATGTCTCTGAAATTCTGATTGGGTTCTATATTTTTATTAGTACCTGAAATTAAGTTTTGTAGACTTAGCTTTTAAAAGAATAATTTCCCTCTTAAAGTCTTCTTATTTTGATGCAATCATTTAAAACATATAATATTTTTCTTTCCTTGTAACTGTAAGGTGAAAATTAGCTCTTTCAGTATTCAGGAAAATATCTTTTTTTTTCAGTGAAGATCTTGAATTTTTGTCAATGTACAGATGAGATTTTGTTACATTATGAGGGAGTGCTTAATTGTCTAAAATGCCAAGGAGTTTGTTCTCTCTTTTTTTTTTTTTTTTTTTTTGCAGCACTTTAAACAGCTTTAATTTTGTTACTAAACAAAGTTACTATTCAAGGTATGTGTTGTGATGCTGTGGGTTAGGCCACGATGTGGCAAACCTGAATGGAGTTCCTGGCTCCAGGCTTTGGCCTGGCCCAGCCGAGGTTATTTATAGGCATTGGAGAGTGAACCAGTGCATGGAAAATATCTCTTCCTTTTTTTCCCTCTCATCCATCTCTCTCTCTCTCTCTCTCTCTTTCTCTGACTGCCTTTCAAGTAGCTGAAAAATAAACACTTTTAAAAAAGAAGTTACTTTGTTTTTAAATGTACTTGTCAGATTCAAATAAGGGAAAAGTTGATGTGTGAAAATATCTACATCTATATGATATAATAAAGTAGTGGTAACTTGGTTTCTTGTCTTTGTTCTATGTAAAAATTAAATAATTTTAAGGAGATCATGTTTCAAGATTGTTTTTAAGGATGACACGGAAATAGAAGTCCTTAATGACATTTTGGTTGTATTTTTTGGGAGTTTTTAAAAGGAATTTATTAATACATTAGATTCTCAGGATCACAGCAAAGGAGTGGTGAGTACCACAACACAATTCTCATCAATTCTCATAAAGAGAACAGAGTCCATGCAGCTTATACATACAATTCTAAAAATATGATACTTCCCTCCCTATCTTTTTCTTCTTTCTCTCTTAGTCTTTCTTTTTTTTTTAATTTTTGAGGTAAAATTTTTAATTTACATTATAGTCAAAGGCTTAATTTTCCATGACAAAAAGAGTGCAACAATTAAAAAGTCAAAAGACCATTGTTCAGTGGGAGTATAGGCAAGGGCTATAAACAATAATCAAATGAAAGATGTCTATGTCACTCATATACAGTAAATTTTAAAATAATCACAGTGGGAGATATTTTAGAGAAAAAGTAATTGATCATTAAATTGTGAACATCATTAATATATGTTATATTATTGGAAAGAGACCTCTGCCTTGGTGCACAACTTTGCAAATAAGTCTCTCTCTCTCTCTCTCTCTCTCTCTCTAAATGCATGCATACACACAGACACACACACTCACACATGTATACATGATTTTCATTGGAATTAAAAGTACTAGAAAGTATTTTTAATTGTAGAATGCTCCAGATAGTTCCAAACAGTAGACTGATTCAGGAGTTTTACCTTGAGGAACAGTGTAGCTAAAGGGAAAACACTGGGTTATTTTTCTTTAAAAGCAAGCAATAGTCTAACCTTGTTTATGTCAGTTCTAGAATGCATAATGTCTGACATTTAACCACAGGACAATCCAGCCAGGTAAGGAATTGTGGGTTTCACAGTGACTCTTTCTCCATGTGTGTGTGTTCTGCATGAATATAAGACTGACCACTTCAAAAATTTATTAATTGTCTCAAACCCCGTTCAATTCCAACATAATTTGAATTATTTTAATTCTAAGAAATTTTATTGTAGCCACTATTCTTTTTTTTTTTTTTTTTTTTGACAGGCAGAGTTAGAGAGAGAGAGACAGAGAGAAAGGTCTTCCTTCCGTTGGTTCACCCCCAAAATGGCCACCACGGCCAGTGCATTGCACTGATCCGAAGCCAGAAGCCAGGTGCTTCTCCTGGTCTCCCATGCAGGTGCAGGGCCCAAGCACTTGGGCCATCCTCCACTGCCTTCCCGGGTCACAGCAGAGAGCTGGACTGGAAGAGGAGCAACTGGGACAGAATCTGGTGTCCCAACCGGGACTAGAATCCGGGGTGCTGGTGCTGCAGGTGGAGGATTAGCCAAGTGAGCCAGGGCGCCAGCCCCACTATTCCTGTGTGTAAAAATTTGATTTCAAGAATGGTCATTGGAATTTTGTTTGGATAGTAAAACACTGTATGTATTCCAAGTACCCAGAAATACTGATTTGATTAAATATTGGTTCCTAGTGATTGAAAGTCATGGACCCTAGAATCAGCATGTTTCAACATGGATCTGACTCTGCCATCTAACCCTTAGAATGCCTCCTTATCACCTCTGTTAGCTTTCTCATCTGTAAAATTAGAATAATTACTCCAACTTCATAGGATTGTTGGGATGACTACATTAGTTAATAGAACTAGAACATTGAACATAGAACATTGCCTGTACACAGTAAAAAAAAATTGTGGTAAGTACATGGTAAAATTATATAGTTGGATATACTACAAAGTTATATCTAATCCCTTTTTTTGTGTGGGGAAAGGAAGTTTGTAATTAGGGCCAATGTTGTGGCACAGTGGTTTAAGCTGTCACTTGCAATGCCCACATTCCACATTAGAGTAACAGTTCAAGTGCCCACCAACATGCTTCTGATCCAGCCTCCTGCCAATGTGCTTGAGAAGGCAGCAGAAGATGATTCAACAACTTGGGTCTCTACCACCCATGTAGGAGAACAGGATGGAGTTTCTGGGTCCTGAATTTGGTCTGGCTCATTCCCCAGCTATTGTGGTTATTTGGGGAGTGAACCACCAGATGGAAGGTCTCTGTCTCTCTGTCTCTCCCTCTCTCTCTCTCTCTGTTGTTCTGCCATTCAAATAAACAGATACATGAATCTTTAAAAAAATCTGAAAATATTCTTTGCAAATAATGGAATTATGGTTGATTCATGCTTTTTCTGTGTCCATTTTATTTCTTTTTCTTGGATTGCATTTTAAAAAAATAATTTAAGGTATACAAATTTCATGTATTTCCTATACACAGATTGAGGAACATAGTGATATTTCTGACTTTACCTCCTGCCCATGCTCTCACCCTTCTTCCACCTCTCTCCTATTCCCATTCTTAATTTTTAAAAATATGCATTTTCAGTTAACTTCATACTCATAAGATTAACCCTGAACTAAGTAAACAGCTCAATAAATTCCTAGGAGTGGGATGCCTGGGTCATATGGTAGATCTACATTCAGATTTCTGAGGTATCTCCATACTGTCTTCTGCAGTGGCTGGACCAGTTTACATTTCCATCAACAGTGAATTATGGTATCTTTTCTCCCACATCCTCACCAGCATTTATTTGTTGACTTATATATGACAGCCATTCTAACTGTGGCTGAGGTGAAACCTCATTGTGGTTTTGATTTGCATTTCCCTGATTGCTAGTGATCCTG